TTGGGTAAATTTGTATTTAACATTTTACTTTCCTTCAGTTATCATTCATCTATCGACCCAAAAATATATTTTATTTATTTATTCTTCAGTTTTATTTTTTCTAAAAAAAAAATGCCAATAATTACAACAAGCACATCCGCTGTTTCTGCTTGGACGCCTTTGACACAATTTGCTTATGGATTTGCTATTTATCCTTTTACTCCTGGTGCGCAAAACAATTCTTCGTCAGATTCTATAAAAGATGCTCAAAGCATAAATGAATCAGTACCGATAGTTAATAATAATAATAACAATAGTGATAATAATAATAACAAAAATAAAAATGAATCAGATGTTAATAAAAAGGTCGATGGTGTTGTTGATTTAAAATCTAATGAAAAAAATGATTTAATTTCTAAAAAAGATAATAAAATTGATTCTGATTCAAATTCAAATCATAAATTAGTAGATCATGATTCTCAACCTGACAATGAAAAGGTTTTAGATGAATCAGGGAATCATGAAAATAATATAAAAAAAGATAATGATGGTATTAGTAGTACTAGTGACAAAATTATTATTAATGCAAATAATAATGTCATTTCTTCGGATTCAGCATCAATATCTTCAAAATCATATATAAGAAATTCACATGTAATATCATATCAAGTTGCACTTGAAGTTGGCGATGAAGTTTATGTTTTTGAAGAACAAGGTGCTTGGTATCGTGGTTATGTTGTCTCTAAATCATGTCAGACTGGAGAACCTCAGGTGTTTGTTGGAATTTTCCCAAAAAATCATGTATATATAAAAGAATATCTTGATGATGTCAAATTACAAGTTAACGAATCAACAAAATCTTTTAATGATGCTGCTTCACTTGATTCTACTACTCGTAATGAAAATGAAAAACCTGCTTCTATTAATGACAATGATGATAATGACAGGCCTCCTCCACCACTACCTTCACTTGAATGTGGTGATGATACAATAAGTGGAAAGAATGAACCTTTGATAGATGAAATTTCAAGCGCAGTCAGAGAATGGTGTAGTCTTTTACCTACTTATTTGGAAGAAAGAAGATACTCCATGTTTAGAACTGTTAAAGATCAAATAAATGATTTATTACAGGGTCGAAGGCAACTACTTGCTCAAACTTTATCTCAAGATGAACTGAGCAAGCTACGTAAAGAGCTTATCAATAAACTTGTTTCTGGTAACATAATTCAAGATTTAGATATTATTGTCAGGCATCCCGAAAAAGGTTTTCTTGCTGATGAAACAAATGTATCAGCTATTCGTCTATATCAATTGCAAGGTCATTTATCAATTCTCAATGCAGAAAAATTAAAACATGATTCATCGTTACCTTTCAATAGCCCTACTATTTTAAATTCACCATCAATAACATCACCGTCACTCCCCGCTATTTTACTGCAAAATAATTCCTCCTCTTACACAACAATACCAACAACAACAGCAGCAACACCAACAACTTTATCACCATCAACAACAAACATCTCCACATTCTCCACTTCATCATCAACAGCAACAACAAAATAATAACCATCAGCAACAGCTACAGCAAAAGCCACATCCATCCTCACATCATCAAATACATCTATCTTCACATCATCAACCACATCTAACTTCACATCATCAATCACATTCATCACCACTTCTTCAAACAAATCATCAACAACATTCATCGCCAAATCAACATCAACAAAAACATTCTTCACCACATCCACCTCCTTTACATCAACCACCACAACTACTATCTGATCAACAATCAGGCTTACCACAATACACACCTAATTCACATTCACACGCATCATTAAACCCAACGCATTCACATGCATCGCCACAGCCAACGCTTTCACTGGCACCTCCACCTCCACCACCAATTACTATAAAACAACAAACTACGCCCCCTTTAACTCCTTATGCATATGATATTGGTGGCGGTGGTGGTGGTGTTAAAGTTTCAAGCTTACGTCAAGAGCCAAAAGGGCTATTAAAAAAAGAAGTTTATGAATATAAGGCTCCATGGCCAGTTTATGGATTGGACTGGTCAAAACTACCAGGCGAAAAGGCGTTCCGATTAGCAGTAGGAAGTTTTATCGAAGAATATTCTAATAAGGTTAGTTTTTAATGATTAAAATATCAATGCCGATTTCTTTTTTTTATATATGATTTAGACCAACATTAAAAATAACTTTTTTAAAACTTGTTTATAAATAAGCTTGAAATAATTTCACTGGCTGAGCCTAGTACTTACGATGATGATAGTTATTATCATCGTTCGAATATAGATTTTGTTAAAATAGCAGAAGCAGATCATCATTATCCCATAACAAAAGTATTATGGGAACCATATAAAGTTTGTATCTTTTTGATTATAAATCAATCAATTTATTTTAATTTAATAATTGAAATTAATTAATTGTATGGTCTTATAGGGTGGATCAAAGACGTCAGATTTGTTAGCAACTACTGGTGATTATTTAAAATTGTGGGAAATCGTTAGTGATGAAGCAAATAATGGAAGTAATACTATTGGATATAATAATAATAACAATAATAATAATCATAATAATAATAAAACAGTATTTAATAGGAGACAACAACTTATTACTAAACAAACATTAAAGAACAAAAAGGTAGACTTCAAAGCGCCACTAACATCTTTTGATTGGAATCAATTGGACTCCAGTTTAGCAGTTACGTCTAGTATAGATACAACATGTACTGTATGGAATGTTGAAACAGGTCAAGCAAAAACACAATTGATAGCTCATGATAAAGAAGTTTACGACGTTGCTTTCTTTACAAACGAAGTTGACACTTTTGCTAGCGTTGGTGCCGATGGAAGTGTAAGGTTATTTGATCTAAGGTAGGTGAGATTTTTAGTCAAAAAGAAAAATAATTTAATTATAAAATATAATAATATTATATACATATTATTTTTAAATCATATTATTTTAGATCATTGGAACATTCTACAATTCTTTATGAAACACCACCGCCCCAACCCTCAAAAACTGGATCTTCCTCAAACTCCTCAAACCAACAATCTCCACTACTTCGTTTATCTTTTAATAAAATATCACCATATTATATAGCCACTTTTCACATGAATTCTACCGAGGTTATAATATTGGATATTAGAGCTCCTGGGCTACCGGTGGCTGAACTAAATGGACATAATGCACCTGTGAATTGTGTTAACTGGTCACCAAATTCATCAAATATTTTGTGTAGTGGTGGCGATGATTGTAATGCCATTGTATGGGATCTTGGCGACTTGTCAACACCTAATTCTACCATATCCAAATACAACCAGGATCCATTATTGGCCTATAGAGCAACAAGCGAAGTCAACCAATTGAGCTGGAATACAAAATATCCTGAATGGGTATCTATAATTTTTGGAAAAACCATACAGGCTTTAAAAATATAAGGAGAAAAGCCACGATATTGAACAACTTCTTATTTATATTAGCTCCCCACTTAATTGTTATACTATATTATATACTCTATCACATTATCATATTATATTATTATATTATTACAGGCATTCTTATCATCATCATTATCATCATTTATTTATTATCATCATCAAGATTTCAAAGCATCATTACATACAAAAAACATTCTGTTCCCTGTTATTTTTATATATATTCACACTCATTTATTCATTATTAGGGTAAACTTATGGTGACAACAAGTTATGATACTGCTATGTATGGTTGTACTGCTAAATATGATAAATCTATTGACTTGTGGACATTTTTGATAAAATTATATAATCATAATAGGGATTAAAAATA